ACTGCGTTGGACGGGGAAGGCTCGCGATGCGTCGGTGTTCCTGTGAAGAAACAGGAATGAGTGATTGACTAGGAAATGAGTTGGGTACAAATGTGAAACCCTAGGAAACTGTACCCCATAGTGTCTACCCCACTACAGCCTAAACAGACTATAGCATATAAGTTTGACACACCCCCATAGGCAAAGTGGGGGAGAACAAGGGGTCACAAGACCGGTCAAGCAAAGCAAAGTAAAGCAAGCTCAGGGTGGATCACAACGTCACCACACATTCCGAGCACAGGTTCAAAGGCCACCAGGCCAGTTCACATGCAGGATTATATATAAGAGGTAAACAAGCAGCAAGTGCAGGTACATATATAGATCACAGTACAAGTAAAGTCAAGAGGTAAGCAAGTGAGGCCAAGTAGGCACAAGACCTAGCATAGTACAGAAGCGCTGATGATCACAAGGCTGAAGTGCCTTGGTGAAGATATCAGCACTGTTGGCCTGAGAGGCCACGTAAGCAAGGCGCAGCTGACCACGCTGCTGCAGCTCACGAGCAAGGAAGTAGCGAAGAGCAATGTGCTTTGTTCTGTGCTCCAGTCTGTGCTCCCGACACAAGGCCAGCATGGCCTTGTTGTCTACGTACAGAACTGGAGGAGAACGAGGCGGCTCTCCCAGGTCTGTCAGTAGGTAGGTGAGCCAGCGTAACTCCTGTGCAGCCATGGCCCCTGCGTAGATCTCAGCCTCACAGCTGGAGCTGAGAACAGAAGACGAGCGGGTAGACGGCCAGGAAACAGAGCCGGAACCAAGGCTGAAGGTGTAACCCTGTGACGACCGCTGAATAGCCAGGTCGTCAACCCAAGACGCGTCTGCATGACCTATGAGGACCACTGGACTCCGCCCTCCAAGCACGAGCCCCATGCCCGACGTACTGCACAAGTAGCGCAACACCCTCTTCGCGGCAGCCATGTGCTCTGGTCGGTGTCTCCCAGGAGCAACATAGCGTGCCAAGATGCTAAGAGGGTATGCCAGGTCAGGACGAGTGCAGGTCATCAGGTACATGAGACAGCCAACAAGCTCTGGGTACGGGCCACTCGGCTCTACGGACTCATCCGAAGGCAGAGCTGAGAGCGAGTGGCGAGTAGACAGAGGAATGGCCTGAGGCGAGGAGTACGTGAAGTCGAAGCGCTGATGGACCTGCTGCACCATGTGTGACTGAGTCAGGGTAATGGTGTGCCGTGCTCTGTCCCGGGTGATATGCAAGCCAAGATAGCTGCGCAGTTCACCCAGGTCTGTGCACGTGTGTCTCTTCTGCAGCTCGGACTTCACGTGGGCGAGTCCAGCAGTGTCAGCCGTAGCAAAGACCAAGTCGTCGACGTACACGAGGATGTAGAACAGCGGCAGCAAAGTGTCGGTGCGAAGAAACAGCGACGGGTCAGCAGTAGAAGGAGCAAACCCAAGAGCCGCAAGCGTAGTCCTCAGTGTGTCGTGCCACTCACGGGGCGCCTGGCAGAGACCGTAGACTGGCTGCCGGAGGCTACACTGGGTACCTGGAGGAAACGACCCAGTGAAGCCAGGTGGGCGGCGCAGCCAGATCTCCTCGTGCAGGCTGCCCTGTAGGAAAGCAGTGCTGAAGTCAAGAGAGTGAAGCTCGTAGTCACGCTGAGCAGCGACATGCAGCAGAACCCGAAGAGTGGTCATCTTCGGAGTCGGGGAGAAGGTCTGAAAGTAGTCAACTCCCTGCCGCTGACTGAAGCCTCGAGCCACGTAACGCGCCTTGAAGACAGGGGGGAGAACCCGGCGGCTGTTCACCCTGAAAATCCACATGCCACTGACGATGTTCGCCCCAGGTGGGGGAACGCCGTCAACGTAGGTGCCTGTGGACTTCCAGGAAGCCATCTCTGCGTCCATGGCTGACTGCCACTGAGAGGAGTAGGGACCCTCTATCGCCTCTGCGTAAGAGCGCGGGGTCGGGATGTCTGGTGCATCCGGGTCTCCCTCAGGGGCAAGCAGCACGGACACGAGATGAGGTAAAGCAGCAGCAAAACACTGGAACTCCTCCTGCCTGTCCTCAAGGACGTCCGTGCTAAGAGCACACTCACCCCGACGGACGGAGGACAGACAGACTCAGACTCAGCTACAAGACTAGCGGCGTAGTCTAGATGACAGTGAGCAGCGAAGTCGACAAGCTCAGCAACTAAGGCAGACGCAGCAGTGGACTCAAAGGAAGGGTCAGTGACAACAGTGGCCAGGAGACGCGTGACAGTAGGACTGGCAGCACGAAGAGAGTCAGACTCCGGGTCAGCAAGAGCAGGAAGGGAGGACGCTGGAGGAGACGGCAAAGGGACACGCTGCAGCGCAGTAAAAGGACGCAGTGCCATCTGATGCGTGCCCGGGACGGAGGAGGAGGACGCTGACGTGGAACACGACGACTAGTGCGAGCAGCACGAACAGGTGACGCAGGACGCGACTCAGGCTCACGACGCTCAGCAAGACCTCCAGTAGGACCAGCGTAGGGAGAAAGAGTAGGCAGAGGGGAGGCCAGCTGTAACTGTGACTCGGACTGGACAGGCGGTGGACACTCTAAGGAGGGAGTAGGACCAGAAGAAGGTGGAAGACCAAGAACCTGCTCAAGGAGCGGAACGAAGTACGGCCGCGGGCCGCGCAGCGACTCCAGAACCAGCAGGGACAGCACCAGAACCTCCAGTGTCAGCACCAGCTCCAGCAGCACCAGTAGCTCCAACTCCAGCACCCACAGGAGCACCGGCGTCAGCAGCACGTCCAGCTCCAGTACCTCCAGCAGCTCCAGCTCCAGCAGGACCACCGGAAGACTCAGCAGCTCCGGCTCCAGTACCTCCAGGAGCACCTACTCCAGCAGCACCACCAGCTCCCGCTCCGTCAGTAGCCTCAGCACCAGTAGCACCACCAGGCCCAGCAGCTCCAGTACCTCCAGTACGAGCACCTCCGGGACCAGTGGCTCCAGAACCCCAGCAGCAGCTCCAGCAGCAGCAGGACCTCCAGTGCCTGTAGCACCACTAGCTCCAGCAGCACGGCTCCAGCGCCGAGCAAACCACTCGCGCAGCTGCTGTGGAGAGAGTGACTCCCGCCGGGACAAAGCACCCGAAGGACCTCCAGGCGCAGCACCTCCAGACTCCACACGCGCAGGCTCAGCACCCTTAGGCTCCGCACCCCCAGACTCAGCAACCCCAGGCTCAGCACCCCCAGACTCAGCACCCCCAGGCTCCGCACGCTCAGGCTCAGCACCCCCAGACCCGGCACCCGCAGGCTCAGCACCTCTAGCAGCACCAGAGTCAACAGCTACCTCGACAGGCTCGACTGCGTCTACCTGGGACACACCTGAGGGGGCAGGACCCTGAGGGGGGAGGGGGTCTACCGGGGGAGGACCTGGCACGAGGAAGAGCGGCGGGGGGGGGAGAGGGGCAGTGCGGTAGGGGAAGAGACGGTAGTAAGGAACCGACTCGTCAAACGTGACGTCCTGAGAGGACAGAACACGGCGCGAGGTGGGGTGGTAAAACTGCCAACCAGGCGCGTCAGGGGGGAAGCCAAGGAAGACGCAGGGAACAGCGCGGGAGGACAGCTTGTCCGCAGACAAGTCGCGGACGAAAGCTCGAGATCCCCAGACACGGAACGCAGACGCATCGCCAACCTTCCCCGTCCACCGCAGAGTAGGTGTGGTCTCCGGCACGGAGACCCGGGGGTGGAGGTTGATCTGATGCGCCGCGTACTGAACCGCGAACGGCCACAGAAAATGGGGAGCAGCCGCATGGATCATGGACGTACGAGCGACGTCCATGACCATGCCAATGCGGCGCTCAGCAATCCCATTTTGCTGTGGAGAGGCCGGAAGCGTGAACGTCTGGCGGATGCCCTCCGCACGACAGAAGGCTCGCAGAAGGTCGGAGGAAAACTCTCCACCTCTGTCGGAGTGCAGACGCAGAACAGGAAAGTCCGAGCCAAACGCTCTCTGAGCTGGAGACGAGCAACGCGGATCCAGTCGATCAACACCTCAGTGACCTCATCCTTGCAGCACAAGGGGAAGACTGAGGTGTAACGCGAGAAGTCGTCAACCACCAGCAGGAAGTAACGCTCGTGACCCTGTCCACGGACGCGGGCTGGGCCCCACGTGTCCATGTGGAGAGTCTGCAGCGGAGCCTCTGTCGGAGGAAACTCGGAGGAGTGAGGAGTGGCGCGCTACCGCCCCTCAACGCAGGGAACGCAGGTAGGGGCAGGCCCCGGGGGAAGGGGAGGGAGGGACCGGGGGAGACCAGAGACAAGGACACGAGAGGCCATGCCTCGGAGACGAGGCAAGGAGGGGTGACCAAGGCGGTGGTGCCAGAGGAGGGTCTGGTGGGACAGGAGGCGACAAGAGCAGGGGGCAGACTCAGGACCGGACCGAGACGCTGCAGCAGACACCTGACTCGACGCAGCTACCTGACCAGACGCAGCAACCGGAGGAGACTCTGTGGTCAGTGTGTACAGGCTCGACCCCGGCCGACGGGTAAACGTGGCCAAGTGGGGGCCCGTCCGAGCACACGTGCAGTGGGTCACTCGCTGACCCGCAGGAGTGAACTGGTCAACCCCTCCATCCTGAAGGTCAGCACCACTCACCAAGTTCGTAGAGAACGAGGGGAGGTAGAGACCGGACAGGGAGCCGGACGGGGCACCGGACACGGCAGGACAGTGGAGGAGTGGGCAAGGACAGGACCCCCAGAGGGGTCTGCCAGGGAGACTGCAACCGGCCGACTGAGCGGCGTGTGAGTGTGGTGCGGTCTCGAAAGAAGGAGCGGGAAGCACCCGAGTCGAGGGTGAAGGTATGCAAAACCTGAGCCGACGCGGTACCTGAGAGAGCAGACTCACCAGCAACTGGAGCAGCAGACTCACTGGCATGTAGAGCAGCAGCCTCAATGCCCGGGTCATGCGGAACACACACGTAACAGTCACCCTCATCACTAATAGACACAGCATACATGGCAGCAAGGATAGCATCAAAATCAAGATCAAAGATAGCTACTCCCGACCTGAGCAGATCACCCCAGCGAGGGATCTCAGTGGCGTCAGGGAACTGGGTACGCCAGGCGTCTGTCAGGCGGCCGAAGCAGCGCTGGGTGGCGTGCAGGCCGCCACACTGCTCTCCAGTGCGGTCGCCAGTGCGCAGGACGTAGGCACAGGGACCAACACCCCCAGACCCCTGGCGTCCCTCGTACCACTCACGAAGCTGCTGGGGCGACGGGGTCTCACGAGAGCGTGGCTGGTGCTGGGGTCCCCGCTGTGCAGCTCCGCCTCGACCAGCTCCACCTCCTCCGCCGCCGCCTCCTCCGCCACCACCCCAATCCCCTCCGCCACCGCCACCGCCGCCGCCGCCTCGACCTCCACCGCTGCCACCGAAGCCCCCACCTCTGCCACCACCCCCACCTCCACCCCCTCCTCCGCCTCCACTGCCACTACCGCCTCCCCCGCCACCTCCTCCAGCGCCTTGCTCCCCTTGCCCTTGCTGTTGCGGCGCCTCCCGCTAGGAGCAGACGCAGCGCTGACCGACTCGGTGACAACATGGTCGACAACAGCAGCAGAGGCAACGGAGGGCAAAAGGGGAACGGGGGAGCACCCCTCAAAGAAAGGGGTACGGGGGTCACCACGAGAGGCTCCTACAGCGGTAATACTAGTCTCCGCTGCAAGGAGGCGCTCCTCGAGGAGGTCAACGGTGAGAGTGGTGGGGCAAAGAGAGAGGAAGTGGTCCCTGACCGAGCGAAGGGTGTCAGGGGAGTCGAGTGACTAGGTAGTAGAGGGTGATGTACATGGGGGGGGGTTCTTGGCGCAGAACTCAGCAGGAAGCGCAGCGCGGTAGCGGGTGTCACTAGTGCGGAGGTGCGTAATGAGGTCTGCGACTGTGGCAAAAGCAACGAGGTCAGGGAACAGGTACGGCAGCATGAGACGGCTGAGCAGCAGCAGTAGCAGGGGAAGAGTAGCGTGCAACTACAGCGTCATACAGAGTCTTAGCACTCTTGTACTGACTAAAGTGCGCGCGCTCAGTAGGCGATAGGTGACTACGCACAGCAAGGCGGGCAGCAGCATCGCGTGTGGTCCACTGTGAGCGAACAGTATTGGCAGCATCAGCAGCAGGGGCAGTAGAGGCGCCAGACGTGAGATCGAACAGCGAGAGACCATCCTTGCTATCGCACTGTAGGAAAAGCTGTAGATCATCTATCCAGACCTCAAAATCGACCGCTCGACCCTCAGCATCGAAGGAAAGAACTGTGGGGCTAGCCATGAGAGCAGAAGCAGTAGGCTAGCAGCAGCAGCAGCAGTGCGACTCGGCTAAGCTGTGCGGCTAGGCAGGCAGCAGCGCAGTGCGGCAGTGCTCTTACCAGGGGCGGCTGGGTAGGCTACCGTGGCTGGTGAGGCAGGGCCGAGGCAGGGTCGGGGCAGGGCCGGGGCAGGGCCGCAACAGGGCCGGGGCAGGACCGGGGCAGGGCCGGAGCAGGGCCGGGGCAGGGCCGGGACAGGTCCGGGGCAGGGCCGGAGCAGGGTCGGGGCAGGGCCGGGGCAGGTACGGGGCAGGTCCGGGGCAGGGCCAGGGCAGGGTCGGGGCAGGGCTGCGACAGGGCCGGGGCAGGGCCGGGGCAGGGTCGGGGCAGGGCCGGTGCAGGGCCGGAGCGTGGGGCCGCGACGAGAGGCCGCGACAAGGGCCGCGACGGGGCCGAGAAGGGGCCGCGACGGGGCCGTGAAGGGGCCGCGACTGGGCCGCGACGAGGCCGTGAAGGGGCCGCGACGGGGCCGCAAAGGGGTCGCGACGGGGCCGCGACGGGGCCGTGAAGGGGCCGCGACGGGGCCGTGAGGGGCCGTGAAGGGGCCGCGACGGGGCCGCGACGGGGCCATGAAGGGGCCGCGACGGGGCCGCGACAGGGCCGTGAAGGGGCCGCGACGGGGCCGCGACGGGGCCGTGAAGGGGCCGCGACGGGGCCGCGAAGGGGTCGCGACGGGGCCGCGACGGGGCCGTGAAGGGGCCGCGACGGGGCCGCGAAGGGGGTCGCGACGGGGGCCGCGAAGGGGTCGCGACGGGGGCCGCGACGGGGCCGTGACGGGGCCGTGAAGGGGCCGCTAAGGGGCCGTAAAGGGCCGCGAGGGAGGGGGGGGCCGCGAAGGGCAGGGCAGGCCGCGCGCAAAGGGCGCTTCGGGCAGGTTAGCAAAAAAAAAAAAATTAAGTGGTGGGCCCTTAGGTAGGATCGGTCCCAGTAGGGAACCAGCTCTATACCATGTGAAGAAACTGGAATGAGTGATTGACTAGGAAATGAGTTGGGTACAAATGTGAAACCCTAGGAAACTGTACCCCATAGTGTCTACCCCACTACAGCCTAAACAGACTATAGCATATAAGTTTGACAGTTCCGGGTCTGGGGTTCTCGTGCCTTTGTTCTCTCCGCCCGCGGCATTCCCTGCGTCTTCCTTGGCTTTGTCCCTGACGCGCCTGGCTGGCAGTTTTACCACTCCACCTCACGCCGTGTCCTCCGTCTCAGGACGTCACGTTCGACGAGTCGGTTCCCTTAGATGCAAAGGAGGAGAAGCCGATCTCGGAGCTACCTGGAGCAGTACAGGAGGTGTTGGATGTGAGAATAACAAACGAGCTAGGTACGGGGCCAGGCGCGGGCTAGGTACGGGGCCGAGCGCGGTCTAGGTACGAGGCCGGGCGCGGGGCTAAGGGCCGACGGGGCCGGGCGCGGGCTAGGGACAGGGCCGGGCGCGGGCTAGGGATAGGGCCGGGCGCTGGGGTCGACGGGCCGCGGGCTAGGGGTCGACAGGCCGCGTAGGCTAGGTGCGACGGGCCGGGCGTGCGTAGGTTAGGGTCGACAGGCCTAGGGGGGTTACTAGCAGCGTAGCAGGTGGTGGGCCCAAGGAACCTGCTCTGATTCCATGTCAAAATGACGAACGAGAATGAATGAACTACAAAACATTGGGTACAAGTACTAACCCTAGTTGGGTTGTACCCCTTATGGGCTACCCCACTACAGCCTACACAAATGTATAAGCTATAATGTTCTGACACTGCGAGCTGTATGCGCATCACGTCTTCGGTGGGGGTCGTGCATCCAACGGCTTCGAAGTAAATTTCGAGTTCAGCTACAGATTGACGAACGTCGCTCCCTTTGACTATAGGATCGAACACCTCCTGTAGCCTCGGCTTCACTGCTTCGAGGTTGCCAGTAGCTGCTGCCGTTGTCGCAGATAAAGTTGTCAGTATCACCGCTGCTTCCGCTGCTGCTGTCGCTGCTACATTCGCCACTACATTAACTGCTGCTGTTTCGGTTGCCAACTGGTTTGCGAGTAACGCCTCATTTCGTCGCAGAGCTGCCCGTAACTCCGAATTTTTTCGTACAAAATTATTACCATTTTCATCCACTTGGAAATTTTCAGGATGATTTGTGACGAAAATAAATGAAATCTGTGCGTTAGTCGACTTACTTCCAAGCAAATCAGCTTCCGAATCGACGAGCGCGTTTTCTGTACGTTGCGTAATTCTCACTTTATTGAATTCTCGTCCGATCTCGGCCGTTGAGGAGAAACTCGACTTGCAGCTCCAAATTCCTACTTTTTTGGGCGAAATTCTCAGGGCCGTTGAGATTCAAATCGATCTGACGGTCAAACTTTTTCGCCAATGAACCTGAGGAGTGTAAGAAAACCGGATCGAGGGGGACTTCAATTTTTTGCATGAAACTGGTTTTACACACCCGAATAAGAGCTCTCATCGTCGCCCCCGCGGTTTTTGTCGGTTGAAGACTTCGCGTGTAAATGAGCTCTGATTACCAAGTGTGTGTCAGAAGAATGAACGAGAATGAATGCATTGAGCAGAAGTTGGATACAAGTACTAACCCTAATTGGGTTGTACCCCTTATGGGCTACACTATAGCCTACACAAATCTAAGCTCTATAAACATTTTTACACACCCCATAGGCAAAGTGGGGGAGAACAAGTGGTCACAGGACCAGTCAAGAAAAGCAAAGCAAGCTCAGGGTGGATCAACAGTGTTGGCCCTAGTGGCCACGTAGGCAAGATGAAGCTGGCCACGCTGCTGCAACTCTCGAGCAAGGAAGTATCGCAGAGCGATGTGCTTTGTTCTGTGCTCCATTCTGTGCTCCTGACACAAGGCAATCATGGCCTTGTTGTCTACGTACAGAACTGGAGGCGAACGAGGCTGCTCTCCCAAGTCAGTCAGCAAGTAGGTGAGCCAGCGTAGCTCTTGTGCAGCCATGGCCCCTGCGTAGATCTCAGCCTCACAACTGGAGCTGAGAACCGAAGACGAGCGGGAAGACCGCCAGGAAACAGAGCCGGACCCAAGGCTGAAGGTGTAACCCTGTGACGACCGCTGCGTAGCTGAGTCGTCAACCCAAGAAGCGTCTGCGTGATCAGTGAGGACAACTGGACCCCGTCCTCCAAGCACGAGCCCCATGCCCGACGTACTGCACAAGTAACGCAGTAGCCTCTTCGCAGCATCCCAGTGCACCTTCCGGTGCCTACCGGGAGCCACGTAGCAAGCCAGAAGGTTGAGAGGGTACGCAAGGTCAGGTCGTGTGCACGTCATCAGGTACATGAGGCAACCCACAAGCTCTGGGTACGGACCACTCGGCTCTACGGACTCGTCTGAAGGTGGAGCTGAGAGTGAGTGGCCGGTGGACAGAAGAGTGGGCTGTGGCAAGGAGAATTGGAAACCGAAGTGCTGAAGGACCTGGTGCACCATGTGTGACTGAGTCAGGGTGATGGTGCGCCGTGCTCTGTCCCGGGTGATCTGCAAGCCAAGATAGCTGCGCAGTTCACCCAGGTCAGTGCAGGTGTGTCTCTTCTACAACTCCGACTTCACATGGGTCAGTGCCTCAGTGCCAGCAGTGGCAAAGACCAGGTCGTCAACGTACACTAGGACGTAGAACGGCGGCAGCGATGTGTGTGTCGGTGCGTAGAAACAGCGATGGGTCAGCAGTAGAAGGAGAAAACCCCACTGTAGTCCTCAGTGTGTCGTGCCACTCGCGAGGCGCGTGGCGGAGACTGTAGACTGTCCGCCGGAGGCTCCACTGGGTACCTGCAGGAAACGACCCAGTGAAGCAAGGTGGGCGACGCAGCCAGATCTCCTCGTGCAGGCTGCCCTTCAAGAAAGCTGTGCAGAAGTCCAGAGAGTGCAACTCGTAGTCACACTGAGCAGCAACGTGCAGCAACACCCGAAGAGTAGTCATCTTTGGGGTGGGGGAGAAGGTCTGGAATTAGTCGACCCCCTGTCGCTGACTGAAGCCTCCAGCAACGTAACGCGCCTTGAAGGCAGGCGGAGAACCCGGCGGCCGACTATGTTCGCCCGAGACGGGGGAACTGTGTCAACGTAGGTGCCTGTGGAATTCCAGGATGCCATCTCGGCATCCATGGCTGCCTGCCATTGAGAGGAGTAGGGACCCGTAATCGCCTCTGCGTAAGAGCGCGGGGTCAGGATGGAAGCAAAACGAGGTACAGCTGCAACATGACACTCAAAGTCCTCCTGCCTGTCCTCAAGGACGTCGTGCCAAGAGCACACTCACCCCCGACGGATGGAGGACTAACAGACTCAGACTTAGCAACAAGAGCAGTGGCGTAGTCTAGACGACAGGCAGCAGCAAAGTCAAGCATCTTAGCAACGAGGGTAGACGCAGCAGTAGACTCAAAAGAAGGGTCTGTGACAACTTTGGCGAGGAGACGAGAGACAGTGGGACTGACAGCACATACAAGGTCAGACTCAGGGTCAGGGATGGCAGGAAGAGAGGACCCTGGAGGAGGCAGCACAGGAACACGCAGTGGAATTGAGGAAGGACGAAGTGCCATAGCGTGTGTGCTTGGGACAGCAGGAGGACGCGAACGAGAAACGACGAGCAGTGCAAACAGGCGAGATAGGACGAGACGCAGGCTCACGACGCTATGTAAGACCGCCGGACTGCTCAATGTAAGGAGGAGGAGTAGGCAGTGGGAAGGCTAGCTGTAATGGCGGCTGCGACTGGTCAGGCGGTGGACACAGTAGGGGAGGAGTAAGACCAGTAGAAGACGAGACACCAAGAACCTGCTGAAGCAGGGGAACGAAGTATGTTCGCGGCAGCACAGTGCCTCCAGCACCAGTACCACCAGCACCTCCAGCTCCAGGGTCAACAGCTCGAGCTCCTCCAGCTCCAGCGCCTCCCGCGCCAGTGCCTCCCATCCAGCTCCTCCAGCTCTAGTGCCACCAGCGCTAGTGCCTCCA